CACTAACGAGAATGGGGGTAAAATTGTATACGTGCGGCTGATATAGCCGTTTCAAATGTTATCGACCAAGTGGATCACATTCTGATTCTCTATAACTTATAATGCTGTATTCAAACCCGTCTTGAGTGAATTTAAAAAGATTGCTTTTTGTAAGATCAATAGATTTAAATGTGTAGTACTTTTTACTTTTGATTACTTAAGTATTTTTAAAAGCGGGTACTTTTTTACTTTTACTTAGGTTTATGACTTTTACTTTTATTTGAGTAATATTTTTATGTGGTATCTGTACTTTTACTTAAGTAGGAAAATTGAGTACTTCTTCCACCACTGTTTTTCAGCTAGAGGTTGAACTAATCCATGCTCGTTGCATGACAACATTTCATTTACTGCATTTAGCCAACATGATACGCAGGTTTTTCAGTAACTAGATGTATATTTTTTTATTAGATAGACTCAGCAATGTGAGCACAGCTAAATGTATTGGATGATTTGTTACACTCTGCCTGTCAGCCATGCCAAGTTTTGCACTCTTGAGTTTTGGTCAGTTGATTATCTGTTATTTTGGTCTGTTGGGTATTGGGGTTCTGTCTTGTCTATCGTCTAGTGTTCAGTAACCTGTGTCATGTCTGTTCCCACAGTTATCACTCTGCCTGCCTGAGTCTCGTTTGACTCATGTCCCTCACCTGTGTACCTCCTCCCAGCTCTTATCCCTGTGTCTATATCCTTGCTTGTTTCCCTCAGTCTTTGTCTGGTCATTGTTGTGTTTAGATGCTCTGTCTGTTGTTGTGGTTTGTAGCCAGCCTTGCCCTGTCTCCTGTGTGTTTTTTTTTTTTATATCTGCCTGTAACTTTGTCTGCCAGTATTTTGGATTTGTGTTTCCCCCATTGGACTCAGCCACTGCCTGTAAGTAGTGATGGCGAGATGAAGCTTCATGAAGCATTGAAGCTTTCCACCCAATTGGTTCACTCATGGGCCGAAGCTTCACGGTGCTTCATTTGCTCTACTGTGCCATCAAGTGGACAATAAATGTAAAACGGGCAGAGTGATTATAACGGCAACATGGCTTTGGTGTGTGGCTCTTCCTTTTTTGGAGATGATTTTACCTGCTTTAGAAAATTATTATTTGGGTAATATGGCGTAAGAGTTTAATTCTTACCAAAGCCACAAAATGTATTTTTGAAGCAATTCTGACATAATTTGATAAACTTTCTTAGCCATTTAAAATGAGCTGTAGATAAAATCTAATTTGTTCAAGTTCAAAAGTCCACAAAATGTTGAGGAGGGTCCGTTGCATTTTGCTGCTCCTTTCGAATTGCAGGCCAAACCCGCAAACCATCTCCTGAATCGGTCACGAACGTCACCACATAACACGTCATCAGCACAAGCCTCGATACGCGCTTCACAAAAATCATCCTGCATTACTCGACACAGGCTTCGAAAGCCTCGATACGGACGGACACGTCACAAGTGTACTTGCTTTTGGTTTAATAAACCTTTCTTTGAACGGAACCTGCCAGCTGTGAGTCCTCCAACCTGCCGCCCAACCACGCACCCTAACATGATTATGAAAACAGTTTGAGCTAGAGTGAATATTATAAATTGTTGCAAAACTTCAGTATAAAGGTTAGATCGTGGTAAGTAACATTACTGTATGTCTATGAAGATTCTCAGTCATCCAGGTCATAGTTATCCAACGAGGGTTAAAATGAAGGGCAACTGGACTTGGTTGAAGATACTGGAAGACGTTTCGTCCCTCATCCAAAGGACTTCTTCAGTTCTGACTGACTGGCAGGGAAACTCAGCTATTTAACCTCAGTGGGGTCGTTGGCCCGGGTCATCGATACCGCTGGTTCGTTAGTGTTCCTTGGTGTTGTGACGACAGTCGTTACAGTCGTTACAGTCGTTGAGACTACCTGTGGCCAAGACTGAACGACCATCGTTGGTATCTTCACCTGAGGCCAATGGGTTACGTTTGTTGAGTTTCCTGGGAAGTGATGAAAGGACAGCATTGTAAGTGGGGGATAAGTGGTGGCGTAGACCCCCTCCCCTGTTCAATGACGGCTTCTCAACCCTGGTGTAGATGGCTTCCTTGACACCTCTTTCAAACCATCCATCTTCTCTGTCTAAAATGTGCACCTGGTGGTCCTCAAACGAGTGTCCTCTGTCCTGTACCAACAAGCGCCCAAGCCAGAGAGAAGGAACAGAACCACCTGAAGGGGGCACTTACAGCCTGTGGATACCCTAAATGGACCTTTGTGAAAACAGCCACAAGATCCAAGAAGAACAAAACTACAGGGGAAAAGAAGGTCAAACGCAACAACATTGTGATTCCATACGTGTCTGGAGTATCAGAGAAACTCAGGAGGATTTTTAACAAACATAACATCCCTGTGTTTTTTAAACCCAAGAACACACTAAGACAGATGCTGGTCCACCCCAAAGACCGCACACCCAAACACAAGAAAAGCAATCTAGTGTATGCGGTCCAATGCAGTGAGGAATGCACAGACCTGTATATTGGGGAGACTAAACAACCACTACACAAACGCATGGCTCAACACAGAAGGGCCAACTCCTCAGGTCAAGACTCTGCAGTCTACTTACATCTGAAGGACAGAGGACACTCGTTTGAGGACCACCAGGTGCACATTTTAGACAGAGAAGATGGATGGTTTGAAAGAGGTGTCAAGGAAGCCATCTACACCAGGGTTGAGAAGCCGTCATTGAACAGGGGAGGGGGTCTACGCCACCACTTATCCCCCACTTACAATGCTGTCCTTTCATCACTTCCCAGGAAACTCAACAAACGTAACCCATTGGCCTCAGGTGAAGATACCAACGATGGTCGTTCAGTCTTGGCCACAGGTAGTCTCAACGACTGTAACGACTGTCGTCACAACACCAAGGAACACTAACGAACCAGCGGTATCGATGACCCGGGCCAACGACCCCACTGAGGTTAAATAGCTGAGTTTCCCTGCCAGTCAGTCAGAACTGAAGAAGTCCTTTGGATGAGGGACGAAACGTCTTCCAGTATCTTCAACCAAGTCCAGTTGCCCTTCATTTTAACCCTCGTTGGATAACATTACTGTATTGAATGAACTGTGGAGGTGTCCTGCACTGTTAAGTTGCATTGTATATTATGTAGTTCATAAGTTACAGCAACTGAAACGGTGGAGAAGCTAATAGCTAAAAGCTAATTAATATTACAACAATGGCTAAATCCACATCTGTCAACCGCAGAGGTTCTCTCCACCTGGAGGAGAAATTAGTATAAATTTGTTTTAGTACATTATTATAACAAATGAAACGTTTAATGTTAGTATAATACTATACAGTTTATTTGGCTAGTGTATGCCTACAGATTGTTTATAGTAGGCCTATTTGTCCCATTTCAACAGGTTATTTACATTCAACAATTCATCTGATTCACAAATAAAACTCTTTTCTGTCTTACAGTTTAGGGCTAATATTAGTGTTCATTCTAATTTCTAGTATTCTAGCTTAGCAATAGTGTTAAAGGCCAGCAACACTTGGAACCTTCCACCCCTTATTTTGTGATACCCCCCACTTTAAGGGGGGCCCTTAAAGTGGTATGTTCTATCCGCCCAGCGCAGTTCACAAGATCATGGAGAGATCTGAGTTATATTAATTCCAGTTAGACTTTCATTATGGTGTGTCAATCTCATTCATTAAATCCTTGTGGCTTCAGCACAAAACGTAAATGTTTTTTAGATGGAGTTTGTGTTGGAGTCTGTGCTGGGAGATGTCGTTTTTTTTGGTGTTGGCGGACACTTCATTAGCTGCGTGTTGTGATTAGGCCTTGCCTCCTCCTATTTCCTAGCGTCTTCCGTGTAGTTCCCTCCCCTGCTGTTCCTGTCTGTCTCGTTCGTCATGTGCTGTGTGTATGTGTTCATTGGCGCGTCCGACCCTGGCTCCTCTCCACCGGCAGAGTCTCACACCTGTGGCTAATCCATTAATCACCACCTGCAGCCAAATACCCTGGTTGAGCTCCCACTCTTTGCCAGTTTACCTCCCGTGGTACAATTGCTCTGGCCAAATTCTCATCTGTTTTGAGTGTTTAGCGAACTGTTTCTTTGTCCACCTCAGTATCGCCTGAGACGCTGCCCGCCTCCCTAGCTGAACTCAGCCTGCCAAGCCACGCCGCCTTGTACAGAACAAAAGGACGCCATTACCAAGCCCCGCACTGTCTGGAGATCCCTGTTTAGTCCCAACCTCCTGCTCCTTTCCCTGCACCATTTACAATAAATCTGATCCTGTGTTTGACATCTCACTTGTGTCCGCCTCTGAGTCCTCCAGTCTAGCCTAACCCTGTGCTGTTGTTCCTGTACGAGGCAAGGGGCTTGGGAGCGCACATGCAGGAAATGCACCCAATCCGTTCACACGACAGACAATAGTGGTTGTTCCGAGGGATCGGGAAAGCAAGCGTTTCATTTTCATGTGAGGTTACAGGCTGTTCACAAATGGGCGTTAAAGTGATTTCTTTGAAAAACTACATATAGCCCTTTAACTCTAACATGCTACATTTTCACACAGGATCATTTCATAGTTTAACACAATGGAACAGAGGATGGCAGGTTTAAAACCTAGTGTCATTTAATAAACTTGATGATTTACCTGTTTCAAATGTCATGCTACTTGCAGCCAAAAAAGCAGATACTCCAGCATGCATTGACCATCAAAAGTACCGTCTTCTCCTCTATTTTGTGAAAGAGTTAGGCGCTGTCTTCTTCATCCTCTTTACACATACATTGTCTAAACCAAGAACCACTTCTGCCTGTTGTCACACTGACCATGATGGCTAACATCCGCCAGCTTGTCTGTATTCAGGTCCTTCTTGGATTCCTAGGTTGCCTTGCGCACCTTTAATATTGACTTCTTTAACAGTAAAGAGTGAAACCTAATGCTTACCTCTTGAATGCAATATTTTAACATTTGTACTGATCCAAATAATCCTTCCCCCTTACAGAATTGCTCACCTCTTGCATTATGATTTCTTTCTGCGGTAGCTGGGTGAGTAGGCCGCTGGCCTGCACAGCTTCCAGGTTCTGCCACAAGCTCAGTGAGCGATCACTGTTCCTCAGCTGCAGCTGTAACACAGGGGGGGACATGACACCAGATTTTGCCACCACAGACCCTGCTGTGACCCCAGGTGAAAGGTTCTCACGCCACCGCCGTTGCTCAATCTCCTGCTGCTTGGAGGTGTCCCTGTATTCCTGGTACAGACAGGCTGGAGGGTCAAAAGAAAATGAATCAGGCAATAGGAACACATGTTGAATTTCTTTTTGCTTTTTGCAAATGCCTAGATTATCACTGTGCCTCAGTGGCAATTTTGAGACATAAGGAACAGCTTTAGAAAAGTCCTGCCACACTTCTTAGAGAGCCTCTGTTAGTCACAGGTGATGAGTACTTGGGCAGATGTGACACCCTACATAGCTACATCACAGCATTTCCTGGTAAAAAGAAGCAAACAATTGAGAACCAACTGAACTTGCCTGTTCATTTGAGGCCAACATAAATTATAGTTGAAGGTTTGAAACAAGTAAGACTGCCGTTATTAGCTTGAAGGTTGTTGCATTATTAGAGCTTGGCAGTGAACAGGTCCACAATTTCAAATCCAGATCGCATGGACAAGTGCTCCTTGGCCCATATCCACAACAAGTAATTAACATTGGCTCATTGAGCACATGGCTAATATTTTTTCTTTACATTGTTAACCATCTTTCTTGTTTTTTGTCAAGTGTGTTGTTTGATCATATAACCGGCTGCACCACATCCATGCAATACTCTCCAGTCCTCTGTAACAATCAGAAAATTGGAAAACACAGATAGGCCTATCAAGCCTACAGGCTACTATTGAGAGAGATTGCACTTTTTTGACTGGGCAATGGCAGAAAAGACTGCTTTATATGAAGTGAGGGTAACTCTTTGGGCGTGTCAAAGTCATTGAATCTTGTTGCAAAGTTGTCCTTCATTGTATTTAACAAACTGGACATTACTTGAATGATGTTTGTCAGGGTGATCAGACGAGGAAAATAACTAGTTTCTTGTCACGATCCCGTCTGTGTGTCTTGTTGGGGAGTCTGGGTTTTGGTTCCATGTCTTTGTTCTCAGTCCTGTGCCTTAGTTCATGTCTTAGTATTTGCTTCTAGTTCTCTGTCTGCATTATTTTGGTTTAGTCTGCTCTGTACTCTGTGTTCTAGTTCTGTGTTGTCATTTAGGTTCTGTCTGTTATGATCCCTGTGTTATAGTTGGTCAGTGTTTGTCTGTTTACATGGGTTTTTGTTGTCTGAAGTTAGATTCTTGTCTGGTATTTTGTAACATGTGTTCTGTCTGTGTTGGTTATTATTTTGCCCCATATCTGCCTGTCAAGTGTTCTGTCTGTTCCCCCTGCCTGTCTCTCTGTTTTCCTCGTTAACCTTGATTCCTGTCACATGTGTTGCTCCGCCCTGCTCGTTAGTCCCTGTGTATATATGCCTTTCTTTGTCCGGTTATTGCAGTGTTTTGTAGTGTGTGTATGCTCTGTTATGTTGTATGGAGGAGTGTTCCGTCTGTTGCCATTTCTTAGTCGTTTTTATAAGTCAACTAGATGTAAGCCTGATATTCTGCTTCTGTTGGATTAAATCCCCTGAACTGAATCTCTGCCTTGGTGTCTTGTTTTTGGGTAGTGATGGGCAAAGCGAGGCTTTGTGAAACATTGAAACGTTTGAAGCAATTGTGCTGGAATTGGGTCGAGGCTTCGAAACACTTCGACAGCCGTCTCCACTGTGACACCTACTGGTCACTTTTGATATCGACACATCTTGGTAGGGGTTTCATTGAAACAATGACTGACCCGCGTTTACAATTCTAAACATCTTATCGATACGTGACCAACAGGATTTCAGAGAAATCACCATACAACAAACAAACAAATGCCTTCAGATTGTCAGAGACAGCAGATGGGGATTGCAATAAAAGTGTGTTTAAATAAAACACATCTGTGTGTTGTTTCATAAGTACTCACTCATTTAGCTGATGCTTTTCTTAAAAGGGAATCACAATTGCTATGTCAGAGGGCGCAGCTTGGGAGCAACTAGGGGTAAAGTGTCTTGCTCAGGGACACATGTATCACAGTGGGAATCGAACCCAGGTCACACACCAAAGGCATATGTCTTAACCACTACCCCCATAGAGACAACTTGTTCATGTTCAGAATCGGAATACTTTATTGATCTCTGAGGGTGAATTCTTGCAGATACTCGCAAGACCAAGACATAAAAGGAATAGGAATAATAGGTAGTTGAAGTTAGTGAGTAGAGATTATAATAAAGTATACAAATCTAAGAATATAGCCTAATAATGGTAATAAATGTGGATATCTACAGTTTTATACCATAGCTTATTAACAAAGGTGTAGATATAGGCCCTATACATTTGTTATATGTCAAGAATTGTCTTCAGAAATATTCAGCTGTTTTGGGGCTGAGTCTGTTTTTTTTTTCATAATTGACATCACCTGCCTTGGAAAAATTTGGTCACATGGAACATTTTTTACTGGCAAAGATAAATATTTTTTTTGCCATCATAGGCCTACAGGTGCGGATATAGCTACTACAGCAGGTCGCTCAAATAAACCAAATGACTGTGTCCTTGGGACAAATCTGTCAAATGAGTTTAAAGCTGATGTGCAGTTTGTTCCAAACAGTGTGAATCAAGCGTAGAAGCGGCAGGTGTGCCACCTGTCGAAACAGGAGTGAAACGCACCAAAGCCTCGCTTCACTGCGGTCACGTGACATTGACGTTTTGAACCACGCTTTGGAGCAGTGTTTCTAAACGCCTGTGCTTCGGGATCTCGACACAGCGTTGACACGTCAGTATTGAGCATCCCCATCCCTACTTTTGGGCTCACACTCTTGCTTGCACTCGTTCTGTAAACCGTGACATTTCTTTTGAAACAGTGATTTTTTCAACAAGATCAACCACTGTTCCCAGATTAAGTGAATTTCAATGATAAAATATGTCACTTAAAAAGCACATCTCTGACACAAGCGAGATATGCTGGCTGCAGCAGTGGAGTGATTTAATCCTTGTGCAATAGCAGACAGTTGTGCAGGGAGTGCTTTAACTCTTCCTGGTTTTTAAATGTGTTACCTTCCATTTGCTAGCAATATAATGTTTATAGCCCTTGTCATTTTGGAGATATTAAATTTGGGCGTGCATTTTCGATATAGGCACCTTACCCATGGGCCTAGTGAAGAGGTTAAAAGATGTGGGATTATTATTGTTAAGATGTCGGCCATATTATCTTCCCAGAGGATTCTCCAGTGTTTTTGTTGTTGCTGTTTACATTCCTCTAGATACAAATTCAAAAATGCAGGAACTGTTTGAGGTCATCAGCAGTCACATGACAAAACAACGTGAAGTTATTGTTTTTATTGTAGCTGGTGATTTTCCTCACATCTGTTTTACCTTAATTCCACCAGCATGTCCACATCCCCACTAGAGGAAAAAATACCCTGGACCACGCTTACATGAATATTCCTGGAAGCTACAAAGCCCTCCCATCCCCATTCTATCAGACCATTGTTTCTGAGTTTTGCAAGATCTCCCCTCTTTCCCTCTGGACTCCTATAGCCCAGTGCCCACCCCTTGCCAATAAAACACAAGTAACGTGAAACAAACAACAACTAATGAACCCCCCATAATCCATGTGTTACAGGAATCCCACAGGAACTGCTGTTAGGCTACGTTCAGACTGCAGGCCTTGATGCTTAATTCCTATTTTTTTTACCAGATCCGATTTTTTTGTTTTGTTGACAGTTTACTCCAGTGTGCACGCAGCCTGAAAGTGACCCGCATGCGCAGAAGAATAACACAACGTCACACGTAGCATGCTGTTGCAGGATGTAAACAAGGAGCAACAGAGGTTAACTCACGGGAGACTCACGTTTTTTATTGTCCTCTCATGAGTAACATTTCTCCAGAATTATGACAAGTGTTCAAAGCTTTCTGTTCTTTTATTTACGGTTCTGGTGCTGTACAGCAACTGCCCCACTTTAATGCTCACCTCGAAGAAAGCAAGCCAGCAGAGGCAGCGTGATGCTTTGCCACAGCACTCCTTCAGATGTCTCCAGACTCCAAACCACATTCTTCCCTAAGGCTTTGAGACTTCTTCATTCATCCTCAACACTCCACAATGTAAAATAATTTTATTTATATGAGTGATAATTATTTATTCACTCAGCTACTGTTAATATATTTTGCATATATATTTTGTGAGTAGCATAAAGGGAACTACAACTTAATTCCATTATACAACCTTGTGTTGAATCTATCATGTATCTTGTTTGTTAGATATTAACAATAACCTGTGTGTGTGTGTGTGTGTGTGTGTGTATATATATATATATATATATATATATATATATATATATATATATATATTATATACTAATGCTTAAATTATGAGAGATTTTACTTGTGTTCACTATAGCCAGCAATAGCAACCAGACGATAAGAGAAAAAACTGGAAATGGAACAAATAATATTAAAGATAACAGTTTCAAGTTTCTTTCTCCATGTGTGTGGCAATAAGTGATTAGTGAATATAGGTTTGGTTAAGTTTATTCAACTAAAACATTTGATAAGAGCAGATGCACTTTTCAGGGAACATTGGCTATGTGTATATCAAGAGAGAAGGTGATGTTGGACAACAGCGATCTGTTACATAATCTCCTTCAGTCGTATATTGCAGATTGCTTTGGTGGGCGTAGAACTGCACTGAGAATTACATAAGAGAGAAATGTGCACACACAGCCAAAGAAATGCACAGGGAGAGAAACAGTGCCTATACATATATCTGTAAACCTTATGGAAAGTCTTTTCCTTAGTCCTGCTGTCTAGAAAGAATCTGGACTAATCCTCACAAATAACCATTATCCTGTGTACACAGTGAACTATACTATGGTGAGTAGTATGCCAACATAGCCAGCTATCAGCTTAGAGAGGTACACTTACAGAATGACTCAAAGATATGCAGTGACAGATACAACTCAGTACACAGTACTGAAGCCTTATCAAGCCCGTTAGGTAAACAGTTATGCATTGTGTAAAAAAAGATATTTGCATATGTGTTGGATCAGTTAGCCTTAGTCAAATCATATTTGATAGCGGAATTTAAATTATATGCTTTCCTCACCAATGTTTTTAATGATGTTGAGGCTGTGGCTGATAGTCTGGGAGCTCTCTCTATTGCTCAGCAGCCTGAAAAGACATAAAAAGGGATATAGATTTTTGGACAGGCAGGTAGGTAGTATATTATACTGTATTCTTCATTTTACCATTAAAAATGATGTAGTAGTACTGTTGGTGCATTACATCACACAGACACACAATGATGAGTTCTCTGCACTTCTCCATTAAACCAAACGAAGAGAACCCTAGCACCAGGAAAGCTTTTTGCTTTGCTGGAAATATAAAAACATCGACTGGCACCTCTTCACATTCAGTCTTTCCAAGACTAATAATAATTCTTCCAATCTCTGAGCAAAAGTACTAAAACCCTTACTCAATGATATCTTATTTACTATCAACACAAACACATAGCCTTTTCATTTCTGTCCTTTACATCTGCAATGTTGTTTGGTCTGACCTGAGGTTGAATTTATCCCGGTCTGCTCCATCAGAAATGGGCTGTTGTGAGCTCATGGTTTCTCCTCTGATCTCCTGTACAGTGCAAGCTGTGGCTGTTTGCTCAGACAACTTGTTTATGTCTCCGCTATAAATGCTGTGGGTCTGGTAACTGATCATGTCAGCTGTAACATCTCTATGCAGGCTGTTGGAGGCAGCCGATATGTCTACACTCCTCTCTCCTCCCACTCCTCCTTTTCTCCTATCCACGGCATCCCTGTTGGCATGTCTGCTGCTGGCATCACCATTGCTGGGCAACACAGTTCTGGAATGATGGCGCTGTGGTGAAAGTCTACATATGACAGCAAAAAGAAACTTTAGAATCACATCACAGCCATCTACATCTTCACCTACAGGTTGTAAGATTTAGAATTTTCAAACACTTAGTTTCAACCTTTCAGAACTTTACTTTCAGTTTTGAAAAATGGCAGGATATTTATCCCATACACACAGCAGATGCCATAAATTAAACATATCCACCAGCAGTTGGCATCTTGTTATATTTGAGAGTTTTACTGGACCCTTGCATATTTTTACTGGCCCAGGAGAAAAAAAAAGAGAAAAATAACACTGCAAGTTTATTAATCGTGCACTATATATACATTGTAATTATTTATTCAAACATTTTAATACACATTTTTGATGAATGCGTTTTCCCATTAATGTGCTATTTGCTTCTGCATGTTTAAAAACACAAAGACAGGGAGGGACTGCAGGCTGCTTTGACATACATATTGGCATTCACGTTTACTTTCTGTAATACTGTAAAACATTCAAAAATGACTGTATACTGTATATATATATGGACTGTATATATACTGCATATACTGTAATATTGTCAATAAAGATGGATATAAAAAATCCTGTCCATTCAAATAATGCAAAACCTAAAATTGTTGTGTAACCTCATGACTTCATTATATCGACTGACTTTCTCTTGGCACCCCCGACACTGATTGACTTCCAACATCCCTGGCTTTCTGAAATTTAGGTGACCAAAGGATTGGAAGTTTTTTGCAGAATACTCATTAAATTGTAGCTATTAGCTTATCTAGAAATACAAAACGCAACCTCTAACCTCTCAACCTCTAGCATACTGCTTTCTGGGATCACAGTCTTCTGAGTAGAAATGAATACATCATAAGACTGTTGTTTGAGTGACAATGAATTATCCTTCAGAGAGATTGAATGGGGTGTGTGCTTATCACAGACAATAAGACAATGACAGTACCCAGTATGAAATATAAAAGTGACGTGTGTGAAGTGTTTAAACAAAGCTGTATGTGCTTTCTGGGTGTGCCTGTGTTCAGTGATAGGGTTGGGCAGTGAAGGCATGCAGACTCACCGTCTTGTCCCAGGCAACAAAGGTGATTTGTGTGGTAAGGGAGCATTAGAGGAGGAGACTCCTGCTCTGTTGCATGGACCATGGTCCAAAATAGGTCTTGTAGAATCTGGAAAGAGAGACGGAAAGAGAGAGAGAAACAAGCAAAAGAATAAAGTGTCTTAATAATCAGGTACAATAGTGAGGACAAGGAAATTAAACTTATCCTTCCAAAACCAATCACTTGTTTGCTCATATTTTTGGGCTAGCACACTTCAAATGTAAAAGCATTTTTCTGTTCATTTTAATTAAGTAATAATGTATTGTATTATACATACTGTAATCATTGCAGTGAAGTTTTGGATCTGAACACATCAAGTAAATGAAACAACAGGGTTAGGATCAATGAGCATAATGATAGGTATTTTAACAACAGAGAATAATTTGTTTTAATTTAAGTTATGCATCTACATTGTATGAGCATAATGTATTTCAATGCGAAACATGTCTCGCTAAATGTTTTTGTTGTTGTACTCAGTCAGTGTTAGTTATAATTGTGAAGAAAAAGTATTTTTTTGATGATCTGTTGTGTTTTTTGTACTAAGAGTGGCGAGTTGAGTTTAACAGCATTCAAATTGTGCAATCAGCTGATAATGCATCAGTGCTATTTTTTTACGCAGTAACAGAATCTCTTGTTGGTACTGCACGTCACTGTAGCAGTCCCAACGTGTGTGGGTGTGTGCTATGAATATTCCACTGAGAGTAGACTTTGACTTGTGCCTTTCCACATAATACATTTGAAAAACCTCTGGACAGATTACAAAGATTGAGTTAGCTGAATAAAATGCACTAAAGCCCTGAGGATATGCTGCTGATCAAGCAGCCTCTATAATATTAAAATGATTACATATAATTGTTGGGACCTCACATTATGGGGAAAAAAATAAGTATCCTGCATGTAGGCCAGTAACCTGTACAAACGGGCCTTCATGTAAAACAAGTCTGGAACACGGCGCAGCAAAATCCCTCCCGTTAACTCACACCTGAGAGTAAGTGGAATCAAAATACTGGATTGCTACTGGCCGAAACTTTTAAGGAGCGTAGGACCCCCTGTGGTGCAGCCTTCACATCACTAACACATTAACAGAGTGTTTCTACAGGGGGTAACTTTAATCTCATGTCAACGCTAGGTGAAGGTCTAATTTGCTGGTCTAGAACGGACTGTCTTTTGTTTTCTCTTTTGTTTTGTGTTTCCCGAAAACAGTTTTGGATCCCAAAAGAGACTTAAACACACAACTAAACAATCTCATCCCTTCCACTGTTTGCTCACAGAGTGAAGGATAATCTTTGATGCATCGCTCTCTCCCAACAAAGTTGACTTCACCATTTTCCCTACTGCTATGAGGATCAGTGCGCCACTGAACCTGCTGACACCCGGGCTATAATCAGGATCCAAGCTGAAAAAGACTTTGCTTTAATAACGGACATCTGAATCCTATTTATTGCTGTGTGCTTTCGTGCGTAGAGCGTTGCATTTTGTATCGGTAGTGCGCTACTGGCTCTTTACTTGTTGTTCCTGAAACTGTGTATGAAGCCAATAACCAAAGTCCAGTAACACTGCTGCCGAATAATGAAAGTTAGAGCAGATGATAGTGGTGTGTTGGCTGAAGTTGATGTGCTAATGTTAAATAAATCCAATTGTAGCCTACCTTTTAAAGAGCAGCTGCCAGTGCTTCTTTGTTTATTGTGTTTTTAACAGCTTGTTGTGACGGTCAGTGCTCAGATTCTACCTTCACTGTCCACCTTATTAATGTAAAATAGTATTTAAATAGGCTATTGGCATTTATAGGTGGGCAAACCACTCTTTGAGACTTTCAACTATGGTTTTTGGTCACTGATTCCAGGGTGGTGCCCATATTGATTAATCTTGATTAATAATTTTGTAATATTAACAACTTTATTAATATTTGAAATATCTTGATTTTTGCTAACAACCAAACCTGCCCTTAAGTGGTACAAAAATATAGGAAATAAAAAATGCACAGCACAGTTAAAAAACACACATGCAGAAAAGGATGATGTAATTACTTTTCAAATGACACTTCCATGGCTCTGTGTAAATCAGCTCTTGGTTGGCCTTCACCAACAGTCTCCTGGTGTTTTGTTACTTGGTATTGTTTAATACCAAGAAAAGGGGTTTATAAGGTGTAATATTTACAAAAAATAGGCCTACAGCTTGCACTAACTTAAGTGTTTTCGACATATACTTTACTTGGGCGGGCCGGACAGGTATAGTTGCACTTTAGCATTTTGCAGAGAAACGGTGAGGGAGAGGTCATCTGGTATTATGGTCATCTGCAGATGTCACTCACTAAAGTTAAAGGGGCTATATGTAGTTTTTCTACTAAAATGAATCCTTTTTTTATTGCCTGTTAGTGAAGGGGTTGTAATCTGACATTAAAATCATCCACTTGCCAGGTTTGGCTATTAACTCTGAAGGCAAGTATTCCTTGCCTGAAAATGAGCATAATACCACCTCTTTAAGGGTTGTGCATGTTGAACCTTGAAGAAGATGGGTTACATATATATATATATATATATATATATATATATATATATATATATATATATATATATATATATATATATATATATATATATAAACTATTTGAGCACATTTTTGTTCCGCCATCACTTCTCGTAAAACTGTCAATATTGAAATCTACACAGCTGATTTCTCACCTCAAAACTTCTCAGAAGTGGATTTAGTGATGAAATTCCATACGAAAACTGTAAAATATAAAACTTTCTGTTACTCGCCTCTGTCTGGTGCAGCAATGATGATGCAGTGAATAGTGAATATTCTCTCTGACCAATCAGCAGTCTGTCTGTTTTCACGTTACATTTTAGTATCCCTCAGCTCGCTTGGAACCTCGACAGAGGTGAGGTGATACGAAAAAAAGTACCTGGAAGCAGGTACAGGTGCAACATTTCTACAATGGAAAACCAAACAAAGGCAAGTCGAGCCAAAGGGCCTCCGCTCAGACCTCTCAGGTCCTCTCCAGAATTAGAATTACGTTGCTCCTGTTGTCTAAAATTGCACGTGCAATATTTTAGAATGCAGAATATAGTACTCTTTATTTGTTAGTAAATTGGGCCCTGAAAGTAATGGAAAAACTAAATTATGACCAGTGTTGGGGGTAGCGCGTTACAAAGTAACACATTACTGTAATCAGATTACTTTGATCTGTAATGCAGTAATTTAACGCATTACTGTTGATAACTTCAGTAATCACATTACAGTTACTAATAACAAAATCATTGCGTTACTTCAGAACTGGTACTATCTTACGCGTGCAATTTTAGTACCTGTTATGGGTGATTTACTAAGAATTATTGCGAAGATGACAACAAGAGCAAACACAATGGAGGTGGGAGTATTTAAATGAGGGTTTTGCTTGTTTTAATGGTTTATCTATCTGCATAACAGGAGGAGAGAAAAATAAATCAAAAGTCCGTTTTTGTGCCTTTTTGCGTAACACTTTTCCCACCTCACTTTTGACTTCAGCGCCAGTCCATGAGGACACAGAAACTGCAGAGCTGCCAAAGCAGTCTTTCAAGGGGTGGAGGTAAAAGGCCTATTTTATTGTTTTGCGAAAGGACAGCGATGCCCTCTAGTGCGCCTGTGGCGAGGCTCTTTAGCCTGGGCAGTCTTGTGCCAAATCCGAGGAGGAACAGGTTGTCTGACAAACGATTTGAGAGACTTCTGCTCAGGTTGTGAACTACAGGGGAGCCAGGGGGTGCTTAGCTCCCCTTGATAAGACTTCCATGATTTATGATATTTTGGGGGGTCTCTAAAATATTGACAGCATGCTTTATTGACATTAATCTCTATATTTCTCTGTCATCATCATGTGGAGCGTGAAACTTCATCCAGTCAGAGTGAACTATCACTGACCGTCTGCAGCGGGCCAGTACGGGTTGTGCACTAATAAGACCGACGCGCTGTGAACAGTTCGTGATCGTTCCCCTCTGGCTGGATGAATATTACGCATGATCCATGCACTGCAGCTGGGGGCTGTCTGCAGCGCCACGCAACTTTCTAAAGAAAAGAAATAAATGTTTCAATGAAATGTCCAAACAAAGTTTTAAGCATTATGATAGGCTACTGTACTGTAGCCTTGTTCTTCTCTTGACAAATGTTGGGCTGATGTTCACAACTTTGTTGTCAGATAGCTTTGTAGTATTAAAGAGCATAAAACAGCTCCTGTGTACGTTCTCATTAAAATAAGGAGTATGTTGTGTGTTGATCTGGGCATTTATGAGGTATAACTTTATTGTGTATCACTGGTTATGTTGTGCAGTAATCCAAAAGTAATGTAACTAGTAGTGTAACTAGTTACTTCCAGCAGTAAGTAATCTAGTAAAGTAAGGCATTACTTTAAAAAAAAAAAAAGTAACTAGTAATGTGTAATTCATAACATTTTTTGAGTAACTACCCCAACACTGATTATGACTGACACTGATCTTCTCACTCCTGGTATGAAAGAAAACAAGCCCTTTTAGAAGCTACATCATTATCTTTTCACCTTTACTGAGATTGAGATTCATTTAATTTATCAGACATGCTATCAAAGCAAATATTATAGGATCATATCCCTGATAAAATGCAAAGGACAAAGTTATCAGTGCCTGTGAAAATGATCAATACAGGTTAGCTGATAAATGGTAAGATCAGAAAATCTTACTCAATTGAATTTGGACTGGGGTTCCAATCAGAAACCTACCTCTGAAAACAATCATTAGTGGTTTAAGTTCACTAATGGTGATTTAAGTTCAAGTTCTTTATTTCAGGTAATCAATAATCAGGTGACTGGATTTTGTTACATTTTTCAACAGACCTCAATGTTTTATTTCTTAATTTTATCCATTCAGGAGACTGATGCTGACGGTGTAGTTATGTATTAAGTAATCACTTTTATCCCTCCCTTTGTGGCCTATCAAAGAGGCCGGGCAAAGTCTAAGCTCAAAACTTTGTTTCTGTGATTGTGCCTCTTAAAAACTGTTGACGATTGATTTGCAGGATGGCAATTAAACATTCATATAAGAAATTTGCAAATAATTTCAGACACTAATAAACATGATATTAGGTAGGTATCCTGGTTGTTTCATGTTTTTTTGCTTAAAATCATGAGGTGACCTGTGGAAAGGTATTATGCAGGTATTATGCATACTGTTATGCTGTTCAAACAGAACTAGTTTCTCTGGTTGTGTTCATGTGAATTTCAACGGAAGGATGAGCCTTTGTTCCATGGTCAAAAATAACTGCATCAACTGTCAATGAAACAACAAAACAGAGCAACAGTAAACAGAATCTACGAAGACCATGCTGCTGCAATGTGATGTTTCCGTTGAAGCCTGTCAATGTTCTCTGTGTATTCAGTTGACAAAGTGTGAATAGGTTTCAAATAGGCTAAAAATCTATTGCTTTAGGGCCAGAAAAGTCAACTTAAATATAAATTAACTTTTGAGACATGAGCCCATATTCGAGGTACAGTAGAAATACAATGTTAAATTGTAAGCACTGTAGACGCCTGTTGTTTCCTTACTTTCAGACTGCTCAGATGAGACCAGCCTCTTCTTCCTCATTGACCGGTAAAAGCGGGAGTTCCTGCGGATAGGCTCTCTGCTAAAACCAACACAGGATTCATCCTCATCATCGTCCTCCTCATGGCTGGGTTGAACCACAGCAGCTTGATGCTTCTCTGGGGTTTCATGTGACTTCTGCCCCCACTTGCCCCTGAACAGGGCAGTCACAGACATGGTAAAAGATTCCTTTTCCTTTTTAAAAAAAAAAGTGAGTTGAGAGAAACTGGAAGGAAGAATTATCAATAATTAGCCAGAATCCAGGAGCAAATCCATGCTTAGAACTGAAAAAAATGCTGTTGAAAAATAAATCCCAAGAAAGAGTACAGTACAAATAACAACTCAGAGAACAGAGAAGTGGCCCTGTCTTCCTCCAGTCAGAAGGACAACAGTGCTGTTAGCTACGCAGGCGACCTGTGGAACCAGGAGAGTGTGTTGCTTATTTCTGGCTAAGCTGTAATTATTGCATTTATGACTCTCTCTCTCTTGCTCTTTGTCCCTCCTCTGTTTGACTACCTCCCTCTGTCCCTCTCTCTACACCACCCTGTGACGTGCTGACATTCCTGAATGTCAACCTGGTCTTACCAGCCTGCCTGTCTGAAACTCTCTCTGTTGTGGAACCTGAAAAGCAACCTCGTGATTGTCTTTTCTCTTCTCTTTGCTTTCAGAGTTTCTTAGATTCATCCACAAAATCAATGTTCTCACTCTTGGGCCTTTGTATTCAGGTAAAGGTTCAATTAGAGGGCAAATTACAAAAATACAGCATGCATTTTGCAGGTGGTGGATGTTATTTCCTTTGTGTTAATGCAATGTGTGTAATGTTTGTGGTCATGTTGAGCCAGGGCCCCATACGGTTTTATTGCTAGTCAGCTGACAAGGAGAGTTTAAAGTTCACTCTCTCCATTTTTCCCCACACAGCAATAAGCCTGCTTGTACTGCCTGGAAATGATTGTTTTTGTCCAAGTAGGGTAGTACACTATTGTATGCATGGTTTGTTTTGGTGCTATTACCCCTTAACCAACAGTTTCCCCCTTTATTTCCTCTTAAATGATAAGACAGGTATTATTGTATATTTTCATTCCAACAATCCATCTACTTTCTGCTGCTTATCCAGGGCCAGGTTGCAGTGGCAGCATCCTAAGCAAGTCAATTTCCCCAGTAACGTCTTCTGGCTCCTCCTAGGGAATCCTGAGACATTCTCAAGCCACATAAGATATACAATCTCTCCAGCCTGTTCTGGGTCTACCCCAGGGTCTCCTAGGTTGTCGTTCCCAGAAAACATCCAAAGGAGGCACCTGGGAGCCATCCTTATCAGATGCCCAAACCACCTCAACTGGGTTCTATAAACATGAAGGGGAAGTGGCTCTACTCCAAGCTCCCTACAGATGAACTCCTTAACCTCAGGCAAAGGGTGACCCTAGCCATCCTACTGAGGAAACTCATTTCGCCCACTTGTATCCGCAATCTTGTTCTTTCAGTCTCTAACCAAACCTTGAGGCCATAGGTGAGGGTTGAAAAGTAAATTGACTGGTAAATTGAGAGTTTCACCTTCAGGTTCAGCTCCCACTTTACCACAACAATCCAGTACAATCCCTGCATTAGTGTTGACACTGACCCAATTTGCCGCTTTACCCTCACTTGTGAACAAGACCATGTGGTATTGGAGGATTTGGGGCAGAAATATTTATAATATTTCTTATTGTCAACAAATCCCAAGAAAACAACAAATTAAACCTTCTGTCCATCTTATACCAAAGCCTACTAGTTCCTACTGAAGATGTAGCCTAAATCTTTAAAAACACCTCATAAAGATAGAATTACTCTACCACCATGAGGAATCTCTGGGTTATCTTTGATCAAGACATGCCCTTTAATTCCCACATAAAACAAACTTCAAGGACCGCCTTTTTTTCACTTATGTAACATTGCAAACATCAACAACATCCTGTTTCCAAATGATGCAGAAAAACTGGTCCACGTATTTGTTACTTCTAGGCTGGATTACTGCAATTCTTTATTATCAGGCTCAATAAGTCCCTTAAGACTCTTCAGCTGAATGCTGCGGCATCTGTATGCAGAAGAACCAGAAAAAGAGATCATATTTCTCCTGTTCAGGAGGCAGACACCATCTCCACATTTAAGAGTAGGCTTAAGACTTTCCTCTTTGATAAAGCTTATAGTTAGGGCTGGCTCAGGTAGTCCTGAACCATCCCTTAGTTATGCTGCTATAGGCCTAGACTGCCGGGGGACTTCCCATGATGTGCCACTCTCTTCTTCCTCTCTCAGTTATGTCACTCAAACCACAAAAGTCAATGCAAGTGCAAAGATTCTTATATTTCTTTTTAACAAAAAAAAAACAGTACCTACAGGTGAGGAGGATGTGCGGAGAAGACCAGCAGCTAGGTTGATGTGCTTCTCCATCGCCTCTCGTTCCTCTCAAGACTCTATTGACCCAGTGGTCCTGTCAATGTGTGGGTTATGGCGCACCACTGGATCCAGCTTTGGTTACAAGAAAATGAGTCAATGAAGTTATCATCTGAACTGAATCAGTTAATGCCAACAAGTGGAAGGAGCTAAGACGACCAAAAGGGTGGCTTCCAGCCAGGCACGTGCACACATAGACATCAAAAAGGGTTTCAGCACCTGCCTTTTTTCTTCCTCGAGAGAAAGTGCCCTTTTTTCTTGGATGCTTGTTCTTTGTTTTTGTTTTTTTTAATAAAAGAATATACAGTATATTTATTCCTGTTTGCAACAGATTCCCTGTCAGACCAATATATTTATTGGGAAAAAAATCTAAATAGGCTATCAGGTCGGAAGATTGGAGTTCCAATGACCTGGTCTTATATGGTCTACACATGAAAAAAGGAGATAAATCAGCATTTAAAGCATTTTCACAAATTGAATAAAGGTTTCACAAATCTGAAACTATGTTTGTTTGAAACTTTAGCCTCTGTGGGACAATCTAGTCCAGATTTGAGAGCTCTAGGTATAGGGGTTTTGGATCTGGAACTGGTCTAATGTGGTCTGCATGTGGAGAAAAAGCTGTGAAATCACCCTAAAATAAAGTTTTTTCAAATCTAAAAAAGGGTTTCAAACAGCCTAAAATGCATAACAGCTTTCACAGCAGTAAGAGGTGCAAAAAACGGAGATTCGGTCGCTCAGCAACGTAAATTAACTTTCACTTAAGTTCCCTTTAACTGCCGAATCGGAAGCTAACTTTAGCGTCGTCTGATGGAGACATTTGTGTCAAATAACGTCATCACAATCACCACACTGATATGCAAATTAGGTGTTAACTTATTAAAATGTGCACATTTGACAAGTCACTGCAGGTGAATGGGATAAAGAAAATAACTAAAGCATATCACCACAGAACTTCCCCAGTTAATGACTTGCATCAAGAGTTGTCTATTTTCCTCTGAAATGTGCTTTGTAAATATGCAGATTAGCTTGTTTTGGTTAATATAGAATAAATCTATAGATGCAAACAGACAGGGCAGTGTGGGCAGCTGTGGCTCAGGAGGTAGAGCAGGTTGGCTGTTAATCGGAAGGTCGGCGGTTCAATCCCTGGCTCCCCCTGGTTGCGTGTCGAAGTGTCCTTGGGCAAGATACTGAACCCCAAATTGCCCCTGGCGGCTGTTCTGCCAGTGTATGAATGAGTGTGTGTTTCCGTTTGAGCACTTAGGCTCAGTGTAAAAGCGCTTTGAGTGGTCGAAAAGACTAGAAAGGCGCTATACAAGTACGGAGCATTTACAGAGGGTATTAGGCTTAAAACCAACACCATCTAAATGTTTATTCTTGAAGTTTTATTTCCATTAGAGTAAATGAAGACATGGAAGCAAAATAATAAAGTATTTGATCAATATATTAATGTATTCAGGCAATTCAGTATTGCAATCCAATGTTGCTTGGCTGTGTGAAGCTGAAGGTTATCTTTGCTCATTTGGCATCTTGCTTGTAAAACAAAAAGTATTTAAATAACATTTATTTTAATTAGACTATGCCTGCAGCCCAATGCTACAGTTTAGTGTGAAGATTTATGTATGAAGATTTATCTAGTAGCCTAGCATAGAAAACCTGCACATTGTGGCATGGTTTGCTTTGCTGTCGCCTGCTCCTGTGATAAACCTAGTGAATACTGAAGAAGACTGTGGTCTCTGTGTGAACTGATTATTTTGTAGAAAAGTAAAAATGTTGTTGAGTTAATATATTTGTCTTGTTTAAAAAAATGCCCTTTTTTTCACTTGAGCCCCTGCCCACCAAAATGTTTGTGCACGTCCCTGCTTCCAGCTGCATGTGATTAAAATCGACTGTAGGTTTGGAGGTAGTCTGGCTCATCAGTGCCCTTCCAGTTACTAACAAGCCTGATCATTTAACAATAAATGACAGCTAACAGGGTGGTGACCAGTCACTAGGGTGAGGTATTGTTAAAATTTATTGATACCAGTACCAAAACCAGTACCCTTAAAGTAGGGGTGGACTGGGACAAAAATTCAGCCCTGGCCCTGCCACACCAGCACACATTACCACACATCCCACAAATACAATTCACTACTTAGGCTACATTTGTGTACAGATGGTGAAATAATATCACTTTGTGTGTGGTGGGAACTTAAGGTCTGAGATTTGGGGTGAGATGAAAGACTCTGGTTACAAGAAGAAGATGAGAAGACATTTTTACATTATTTTGAAGAAATATTTAATGCTGAAATGAGTAGGAGGCTGGGGGCCCTCCTTGATCCTTCGACACGACAGGACACGAAGTTGCATGTAAATGGACTGTCCATAATGCAATAATAATAACAATAATAATAATAATAATGCATTACATTTTTATAGCGCTTTATCATTGAAACTCAAAGCGCTTCACAATGTAGTGGGGGAGCCTCACCTCAACCACCACCAATGTGTAGCACCCACCTGGGTGATGCACGGCAGCTATTTAGCACCACAACGCTCACCACTAGGGATGCAACGATTACAGATTTTGTTGGTACGATTATTGTCAGAGAAATAATCACGGTTTCATGATTATTATGATTATTACGCATTAATTAATTTCACAACACTAGTAATGACTTAAGTTGATTTTTAATATTTAATGACATTAACAATTAGATTTCTATAATATGTAAGTATTATTAATGTAAGAGGAATATTAACTTTTGTCCACCAGGGGAAATTGTAACAAAGGAGAATAAACTGTACTGTTACCGTCATCAAGCTGCTCATCACTAAACTACTTTGACCGCAGCATGCGCACGAGCTCGCCGTGCGGTGCACGTTTCTTGATGCAGCAATAAACCAAGCTATTGAAAATAATGGGCCTCAAAGCGCAGCGGTGGGTCTGAAAGGTAACACCTGCCTTGTTCGTTTACGTTGCACTGGAAGCTCAACTCTCACCGCTACGGCATCGATTATAAGTGACGCGTTTATATTTGGTTCCCCACCAACTTGCTAGTTATTCAATATAATGTATTAGGCCTACCTT